GCAAGGGAGCAAACAGGCTCCAACGTGCGACAGTCACACGTGCAAAGTCAGATACAAATGGCCGGATGACCTCAAGGCCAAATGGGTGAAGTGGTAAGGACAAACAAACGTCAGTTCATATATACACACTAAACACAAAAATGGGGCGGGGGTTACAAATGGGGGCATGATAAACGTGGGGAATTTCACTGTCAACATAACGGATGATACATTAAGTGTTGTGCTCATCTGTTGTTTCACAGAGTATTATCGCAACTTTGAAAGTGGTTAGTCGATCAGTTTTCGACCAGCTGCCTAGGGATCAATATACACGAAATTATCCACGCTACTGTGATTGCAACACTCCAGGATTGTCCCATTGTTCGATTGACAGAAACAGCTAGCACACAGGAGTTTGTTTTGATTTTGCTCGGGCTATAGAGCTACAAACCGAAGTGAGCTGGGCGCTGCAATTATATAACATGGAATTCAAGTTCATTCTGGCGCCTGATTTGGAACAGTTGTACATCAGATGGAAGTGCATTGAAAATGCTCAGAATGATGTGCTCCACGACAAGATCAGATCATCACCAACAACCACAAGTGTAAGGTTCACGGTCATCTAAAATAATTCACCCTTCACACAGAGATAGTTTACCTTGATATCACCACGGTGCCCAGCGAAACACGAGCACCTTTATGTTAGCCATGATATCCACGCAGCCTGTCCATATACGAAGCAGGCTTCTGTGGCTTTTGCTCTCCAATGTGGAGTGAAACCTTTCAATGTCTATGCACCATAACTCGTCTAGTGAAATGCGAGAAGTTCGGCGTGCATTATCCTATTTGGCGCACTTTACAAGCGGAATTCAATCAATTCTTACTGTCTGAGCTAATTAAGTCGACCCTTAGCGCTGTCTTTGAATGGATTTGCGCAACAAAGGCTCCTGAGCTACGGCGATTGTTGCTCGAATGTTTATACGTTCATTTTAATCCCATTCCAGCCACATATTGGATGCACACATGGTTCGATATGTGTGATTTGTCCTTCATATTCGCTTCTGTGGGAAGATGGTTACACCAGAACTGTGCAGGTATTATTGACTTTTTATTTGACTGTGAATGAGGTGGGTACACGTCAAATAAGAGCTGGACAAGAATTACGCAAGAATTACAAAAAGCGGAAGCCTTGTCCTTTAGAGGCCACACTTAGGGTTTAGAATGTCAGTTGACATCTATTAGGCGCACATGCACCTTTCTTCAGCTCAAGTTTCCGGCCAGATTCAACGCTGATGCTCCCTGCATTTCGGCGGTCACCACAAGCACAGGCCACGAAAAACCGGTGTTGTTCAGGATAAAGAGGATTGTCAAAATATCATGTAAAGTGGTAGTGATGATTATCATATTCAGCGTGAAGGCAACCGCATCAATGGCGTTTATTCTTGTGGTAACCCTCTTCGTGAATGGATTGAGAAAATGGGCCGAACTTTGACTTGACCTATGTGTGAAATATGTGGTCAACATCAACCTCACACTAAATGCACACAAAGCTAACGGTTAAGTTTTCCAGTGTCACAATTCACGGTCCAACGATAATCTTAGCATTACTGCTAGCAGAAACCTAATTGCACTTTTAAAAAGATTGCCTTCAGATTAGCCAACGCAGATGGTAACACACTTGTTCTCTGGGTTGGAAAATTTGATTGAAAGCGTCTCATGACCAACCGAGATGGCGCCAACAGAGTGCAGCTAAGAAACGCAGTGTACCGCAGCGGTGCGGGAGCAGTCGCACATGGCTCATTGACACCGCTAACTTCCATTCCATTCTCTAACAACGTACCTATAATGTCACATCTACTGGTGACCAAACGTTTGCAATCAAACTGCTTAGTTAAGAGAGCCAGCCTTCACACTTATTTCACACAATAACTTTGGCAAAACCTTGACACTTAGACAATTAAACCCAACCGCGTCACAGTCCTCGGGTGTGAAGCAGATCATGTCCAGTGCAACAAACTTAAAGGTAGTCATAAAGAAAACGTCGAAGAAACATTACGGGTGAGCACTGCACCAGTGTGAGCTAAAAATTGGCGTTGGCGAACTGCTAGTAAACACTGGCGAAGTGTCAGCTGGGGACTGACTGATTTGATACACTCCCTTCGAAATAACTCCCATAGAGGACTTAAGTCTAATATATGCTCTATAGCCATCATTTTAGGAGAATTGGGCGATATTTCAGAATCGCACCTTGCCCCTAGAGGCTATTTTGTCCTTTCGTAAAACGAACCGAACATATGAACGATCACCATTACGCCGCGCAATATAAAATTCACAATGTGAGTACTATGATTTCGCGCCCTAACATGATTATGTTTTTAATGGTATCCACTAAACTCCTTGAAGTGCATTTGACGGAAGCCCACGTTTCACTGCTTTCATTCGTTCCACTTGGATCCGTAAACATCGAAAAAGGTTTCCTGCTTATTCAGCCCAATGTTCCTTTGAAATTCTATGCATTCGGAATTAATCTTGACACAGTCGAGACACTGGCGTTATCTGCACGTGACAAACCAGATGGATATGATTGCGACAATGATCGAATAACTAATCCATTCAAGACATGGTCTGCAAACACCTCCCATTTGCTATTCCAGATAACTTTGACTCGTGTTATAGCCTCTGGAACCCTGCTATTTTTATGTACAAAGGAGAAAGAAGAAAACAAGAGTCATCGATGGAGACATAGAGAAACCATTTACCCTGAAGGGATCAAGCTTATTTACTCAGACTTCGAACTTCCTCCCTATGCCATGATCATCATAATGATTATTGCTTTGATTTTTTCGGCTTGCTTCAGTGGACTTCATATTGGTCTGTTGAAGCTGGACAAAGTTATGCTTCAGGTTGTGAAAACCGCCGGATCCCCAGATGAGCAGTCGTATGCGGCAGTTATTATGCCGGTGAGAGAAAATGGTAACAGATTACTATGCACATTGTTGCTGTCGAACGTTGCCGCTAATGTAGTGTTTTCGATTACGGCTGACAAAGTCATCGGAACTGGAGCACTGGCCATCACAGTGGCAACCTTGCTGATTGTGGTGTTTGGAGAGTTGCTACCTCAGGCTCTGTGTACAAATTACGGTCTGTTGATCGGAGCGAAAACCGTACCTTTGACTCAGTTTTTACTGTTCATCACCGCACCGGTATCTTATCCCGTGAGTCTTATACTGGATAAAATTTTTGGCGAGGAAATAGGACAAGTTTACAACAGAGAAAAACTTAAGGCCCTCATATTAGCACAGGTAGGTTTATATATCAAAAGATAAAAAAAATATACTCCACAGAAGTCCTATGGATATGTTGGCGATGATGAAGTGAACATAATCACTGGTGCCTTGTCCATGAATACCAAGACAGCAGCTGATGTCATGACACCTATTGATGATGTTTATATGTTGCCCCACAACGCCGTTCTGGATTTTCAGACAACGAACGACATAATAACGCACGGATTTACAAGGGTTCCCATCTATGAGGGCAGTAGAAGCAACATATGTACAGTGCTAAATGTGAAGGATCTTGCGTTTGTAGATCCCAATGATCGCATACCTGTTGCAACTGTGTGCAAGTTCTATAACAGAAAATTTGTTGAAGTTGATGGAGGAAAACCACTTTGTGAAATACTTCGAATTTTCAAGCAAGGTGAGCTAGTGTGTTGTTTATTTCGAAATCGTCTGGATGTTTCCTTGCACCGGTTTACTTTTTATTGACGCGAGAAACGAGTAAATTTCGTTTTAAGAGTCTACAAAACAATAAATATGTGGAGCAAAAAGTGAAGCTCCCAGTCAGTAGCGTTTGCCTATCTTTTGATGCTAAGCAAATGTTACTGCTACGTGTCCAGTAGCGAGGGAATTTCAACGCCTGACACTTGAATCCTAACACAACACACCTAACCCGTAAAAAAGTATCGAAATGATCTGTTGCTTTATGGGAGTAAATAAGTCGTCAGCCAAAAGTTATAAAACCATTACCTTTAAACGAGAGAGCACACTATGTATGGCATATATAACCGTTACGGTGAGTGAGCATACCAAATGAACACTCACTTTCGATCCACATAACGGAGCTACCTTTTCAGAAAACACACTTAGGAATCGAATCACATTTTAGTTCGTACGGATAAAACACTGTTCAATTAGGATTCGGAATTGCTGGTCAAAAATACATCCAGCATGCCGTATTTTGCTCACAACTAATTGCTTTGTTTTGATCACAAAGATGCATCGTCAATCTCGCTTGAGTGACGTAATCTTTTTGTCTGATTTTTCAAAACTCTGAATCCTGTTGTAATGCTTTAACGCTTTTAGAATTGGTAAACCTTTGATTTATTAGGTGCTTTTTTCGGGCTTTCTCTTCTCAAACTTGGCCTGTAATTTTGTGGTATGTTATGGGAGTTTTTTGGTACCCTCCACTAAATGATCTAAAAAATTGAACTGATTTTGAATTCAACTGCAGCTACCTAATGTTTCATCAGATATGACTGTGCACTAGTGACAGCTTATTCTTATGTGCATCATAGATATGTTGTCATGGCCACCAGCCGGCACCCATCTAGAGCCCACAGGTGAAGTAGAACCCTGGATGTTGAACATGAAACCACCTACGGCCTCGGAGGTTTACGACTGCATATGTTCTCTCAAGCGCCACTGAGCTCCCGGTCCGGATGGTCTTCCACCCGCGCTGTTCAAAGACGGGGGTTAAGTCCTCAGTCAGCGCTTGTCCGATCTGTTTGCTTGCATTTGGGAAAAGGAGTCTGTCCCAGAAAACTGGGGATAATCGGTGATAGTGCCCGTTTTCAAAAAAGGGGCGCGTAATGAGTGTGGTAACCACAGGGGGATCAGC